GTCTCAGAGGGGGAGGGACGTTTAAAAACTGGACTAAATTCAATCATGATGTTCTCATCTCACTGAACACTGCCAAAACGTTATGGGATGAAGCTAATGTCAAAAAACCTCTACCTTGGGAACCTACATTCCAACTAGATGAGTTAGTATGGGTCTCAATACCACACCCCCGCCAATCTCATCCACAAGTTCACAAAGGAACAGTTCTACGATCGGGACAGTACCCTAATACCTAATCTGTCCTATTAGAGGAGAAGCCCGATCGTCCCCCTATTATCGTTCATCACAACTGGATGACTCGTCGTTCCGACGTTCACCTAGTAGCTTTATAGTAAATTCAATTACGATTCTCTTTTGTTTTGTTTTGTTGTTGTTTTCTTTCTTTACAGGCCTGACCTCAACAAAGCAGTAATCTACAGCCGCTCGATCATGAGATCCGTCGAGCACCCAACTGCAGTTCCTTCGAGTCAACGTAGTGACGACTATGGAGGGGGCACCGAGGCAGCGAATGTCCGCCAGGCCAGAACTCGCTCTGGCGCTGCTCGTCTCTCATTTCTGCTGCAGTGTATTAATTAGACCTGTTGTTGATCTGTACGTAACAGCAGTTTGGGGGAAGAATGTCACATTAAAATGTATGATTGACATGAATGAAACCATAATACAAATTTCATGGGAAAAGATATATGATAAAAGTGCACAAACTATTGTTGTGCATCATCCCGAATATGGGGTCTCTGTTCAAAGAAAATACCACGGGAGGGTGTTGTCTAGAAGTTCTTCACCCATTGATGCGACGATTAGTCTGCATAATGTGAGTTTCTATGATGAAGGAAAGTATATATGCAAAGTAACTACATTCCCATTGGGAAATACACAATCGTTAACAATTGTAACTATATTTGTTGAGCCCACTGTAAGTTTTACCAAGGGGCCAAATATTATTTAATATTTGTAATTATTAATTATTTAAGTGATCGGACCACCTGCGTCGCGGCTACTAGCGGCGTAAGTAAAGCCTTTTTTGCAACCAATACGTTTTGTCTGCCTCTCCATTCACCAGCCCGCCCAACGGCCGAGCAATTTGTAGATCACCTCAAGTCGGCTCCGGCCGTCTGAGACAATCACCTCAATTTCTTGGGGCACCCACTTAGTGTAGGAATCCTCCAGCAGTGTCATTCCCCTTCTAGCACCTTCCTGCTCCCCGATCTGCAACTGCAGTTGTCACAGGTCTTTCTTGCAGATGGCCCCAGAGATCGGCATGATGCCTCACAGACAAGCAGGCAAAGACAGCTGTGCAGTGTCCTGGCTGGCTGCCCTGCTAGCTAACAAGTTGTTCAGTTTGGTTCCAGCTGGGGCTTCTTATCCCATAAAATTTGCATCAACTGTGGTCACAGAAAAACTCCTGGAGGAAGCTGCAGAAGAGTTTGCAGGGTGGGGGGGATCTTGATATGCTACCTAAAGGAGCCAATTGAGCCTGTGGTGGGGGATGAATATAGAAGAGGCAGAGTCTAAAGATCCAGCTCAAACACAAGGTAATTACCCAGAGCATCATACAAATTCATAATCCAGTGCCTCAGAGAGCAAATTGCAGGGAGGTGGCAGTGGAAGGAAATTCCTTGCAAGCAGCAGCACAGAAGGAGCGTATAATAAGAGTTGTAAGACTCATTTGGAGGGTGATGCCAGAAAGCTCTATGTGCTTGGGGGGTGGGTTGCACAACGGCTCTGAGCAACTACACAGTGTACGATTATGCTTAAGGGCTCGAGGCAGTTGGGCTAAATGAAATGCACTTAAAGATATCAGCCAAATGAAGTCCTTTTATTATTGCACAGAGCTGTGTGCACGAAACACAGGGGAAGGTTATGAAAGGGGCTGCAAAGAAGTTTCTAGTAATAACCAGGCAGGAGGTGACTGCAGCCTGAAGGAATCGGGTTACAGTCCTTGGCAAGCAGCCTTGGAGGGTCTTTTGCCTCCCCTGATTTTCTTTGTCAGTTGTACGTTCTGTTTTTGTTGCCTTTTTGGTTCTGTCCTCCTGCTTCCAAACTGACTAAATCTGTAGTCCCCAAAGCCCGTGGACCTGGGATTCATCTCTGAAACCAACTCCCAAAGGTGTGGCGAGGAAGCAAGCGTTGCACTAATGGCATGTGATGCTGCCTAAGAAACATGGAACAGTTTGGAGAAGCAGAGGAAGAAGATGCCTTTTATGATCCCCAGCAAACCGGAAGCCTCTTCCAAGTACAGATCCCTCCTCCCACCCTGCACCTCCCCATGAATACACACGCAAGATGTGTATTCTGTAGTAAGCTTGTCATTGGCAAAGCTGCCTGCAGCTGGGAACCACACGCTGTAAGACTCTGAGAGCCACTCCTGCCTCTGCAGCAAACATGAACCTGAAAACAGTTCTCATCCTCCTGGTGCTGGCTCTCGCTACCATTTTAGCTTTAGTTTGTGTGCTGCTGACTCGAAGAGAGAAACCAACCAGCTGTGAGTCCCAAACCCAGAGTGGCCAGGAGGACAAGTCCAGGGACCACAGCCTGGTGTTTGCTGATCTAACTCCAGAAGAAATGGTGCAAGTGGTGAGGTATCTGCGGGAAAACCTTGGAGTACCGCTGGTAGATGCCTCTCAAGCAAAGCCCTCAGACAATTGCATTTACTACATCGACGTGCAGCTCCCCACCAAGGCAGAGGTACTGCAATTTTTGGATCGAGGAGGAGTTCTCCCCCCACGGCAGGCACTGGCTGTAGTGTATTTTGGAAACCAACCAGACCCGAACATCACAGAGTATGTGGTGGGACCCCTGCCCAGTCCGAAGACTCATCGGGACTTCACAATGCAGAAGTATGGAGGGAAACTCCCATTCCACCGCAGGCCAGTGACTGAGAAGGAATACAAGGACATTGATTCCTTCATCTCTGAGGAGTTCTCCAAAGCAGAAAGCTTTCTTCGATACTGCTGCGATTATGACGGGACCAACTTTGCCGCCCTCACCACCGCCCCCCGAGGGTTCCAGTCTGGAGACCGTGCGACTTGGTTTGTTCTGTTCCAGGATGTGTATGGTAGTGGCTTGTACGTGCACCCGGTGGGGCTGGAGGTACTGGTGAACCACAGCAGCCTGGACATGTCCCAGTGGAGGGTGAGCAAAGTGTTCTATAACGGGCAGTACTATGGGGACATGGCCCAGCTGCAGAGGGAGTTCGAGCAGGGCCACGTGAGTGTTGTAAAGGTTAGAAAGGTTTCCCCTGAGGAGGAGTTTGGGTCCATGAAGCCCAGAGCAGGCCCTGGAGCACCAGGCCCTTTTCAATATGAGCCTCGCGGGCCACGCTACAGCATCCAAGGTAACCACGTTGTATTCCAAGCCTGGAGCTTTGCCTTTGGTGTGGATGTGAATGCAGGGCCACGACTGTTCGACATCAGGTTCAAAGGAGACAGGATTGTCTATGAGCTGAGTCTCCAGGAAGCCCTTGCACTCTATGGCTCCAACTGTCCTGGGGGGATGGTGACTAGGTACATGGACGGCAGTTTTGGTATTGGGAAGTTTACTTATGAGCTGGTCCGGGGAGTTGATTGCCCCTACACAGCCACTTATTTGGATAGGCACTACTTAATTGAATCAGAGACCCCCAGAGCCAATAAAAACTCCCTATGTATTTTTGAGCACGATACTGCCATTCCTCTGAGACGCCATTACTCCAATTTCCAGTCCCTGTATTATGGGGGGCTGACTAAAGCGGCTTTGGTCTTCAGGTCCATTTCAACGCTCATAAACTACGACTACACTTGGGACTTTATCTTCTACCAGAATGGAGCAATTGAAGTCAAAGTCCACGCCACTGGCTACATCAGCTCGTCCTTTCTCTACGACACAGGCATAGACTATGGTAACCAAGTGGGGGAGCGTACCCTTGGCACAATGCACAACCATCTCATAAATTACAAAGTGGACTTGGATGTTGCAGGTGGGTCTCTGCACATCACACTTCTGTTTGTCTACATGGTGGGTTTGGGCCCCACCACAAAAGATCACCAAGAACTGTGGGGCTCCCAGGAGCTCCATAGCATTGAGTCCTGGAGTTTGCTGGTCAGAAAAAGCAGCCCAGAGTGGCATAGCTTTCAACTTTGTCACTTGAATCCTGAGCTAAGCAGGGGCTTCTCCTAACTTAAGGCAGATTCCCTCTGCCCAGAACACCTACAGCACAGAGGGGTTATGCAGCCACATCCTTATCTGCTCCTGTCTGGCCCCTCACCCTGGGAATTATTGGGTTGGCATAGAGTCAGGGGTGGGCAAAATATGGCCTGCCAAGGGATTTTCTCCAGCCTGTGTTTGGTCCCTCAGTCCTGCTTGGCCTAAGTGCTCGGGGCAGCCCAGGTTGTAGCATGTATGGTTGGTCCCACCTCCCCTGGGCACATACTAGGGCTGGGGCAGCACAGCAGCTGGACTCGCTCCCCAGCAGCCCTGGCAGTGGTGGCTTTTTTCAGCTGCTGCCACCACCGGATCTGGTCCCACTGTCTGGGCACCCCAGCCCATCCTTCCCGCACCCATAGCTGAGGGTGGAACCAACGTAGGAAGCGCATACAGCCAGGTGGATGGGATGGGACAGTGGGCAGGCAGGGAGCAGTGTCCGGGAGCAGGATGGGCAGGCAGATGGGGCTGGGTTCATGGGGTGGAATTGCGGGTCATTGACAGTGCGGGGCTGGGGGTAATCCACTGTCTGCACAGCACTGTGATGGGTGCTGGTTCTGCAGGCAGGGGCATGTAGGGAGCAGATCACAGCTCTGCCCCAGGCCCCAGTCCTGTGCTATCACTGTCCCAAGCTCCTGGACCTGGCCCTACCCATCCATCCTGCTCCTGGATGCTGCTTCCTGCCCGTGCACAGCCCCATACCATATGCCTGGCTGTGTGCCCTGCCTGCGTGGGTTCCAGCTATGGAGACCCTGGGATTGCAGAGCTGCGACAGCGTGGGGCTGGGGCCTGGGGCAGAGCCATGATCCGTGCTCTGCACACCCCTGCCTGTGGAAGCGGTGCCCAGCACAGGGGCATGCGGGCAGTGGATTGTGGCTCTAGTCCGGCCCCAGCTCTGCACTCTCATGGCCCTGCGATCCCACCCGCAGCCCCCTCCCCCTGCCATCCCACTTCCAGATACCACTCTCTACCCGCCCATGGTCCTATCCCAGCCACCCAGTCCAGCGTGGAGAAGAGCCACTTAAGGAGTTTTGGTGAGCTGGTCAGAGTGGGAGGAAAGGGTGCTGACCTGGCCCACAACAGGTCACCAAAACTCCCTAAATGGCCCTGTGGCCCAAATAATTGCCCACCCCTGGCATAGAGCTGAATACTATTACACTGGGCTAGCCTTGCTCTGGGAGCTGGCCTATGCTGGACTAAAACACAGCCAGTAACTGGACCAGCAGCTATGTGCTTTGAATTGTATAGCCTATGGAGTGTGGTTTTGAGCAGGCCCATTGTGCAACACATCCACCAGGACAGGGGAGGAGATAAATTATGTTATGGAGCCTTCTGGATTTGTTTCCACACAGAAAGTGATAGACCGGGTCAAATTTAAAAATTACACTGTATTCCATAAACTTTGGATGCACCTGCCTTCCCAGGCTACAGGAGAGGAAGGGCAAGGCTAAAGTTAGCATGGGATGTCAGAGAATGATGATGATGATTGCCGCGGGTGCGGTACTGTCATCGCTGCCCTGTGTTTGGATTGCTACCAGCCGAGCAGCTTGTGGGACTGCTAGTGGGGATCCCTCACCAAGCTAGTGGGAGAATTTAATGGAAACGTGCCCATCAGGTTAAAAGCTGTGAATGTTTCACTGCCTCCCACCTGTGCAGGCATGTGGTAGTTATGCATAGGTCAGAGATGGCTGTGTGTTCATGGATCTCCATAGCCTGTAAAGGAGATGTTTATGGGAGCCACACACCCTCTCCCTTGAGTGGGAAAGGCCGGGGCTCTCATCTGGGTGAGGTGAATCAACAGAGAGGGCTCTAGGAGTGGAATTCCATTACCCTTTGTGCACTGAAAAGACATTTTTCAGGCCAAATAAGAGTCCTTTTGGCACTTGCTTACAGTGTTCTTTTCTATTACCCCTGTACTGCAGAGGCTTAAGCATGTGTGTGGCTCAGTGAGATGTCTGCTGCCCTGAAAGGGAGCAGGGCCCTATGCCTAGCTAAGATCTTGTTCCCAATGGGTCAGAAGCCTCATCACTGTACTGCTGTGTAGCCAATGTCTATTAAATGCAAGGTATAGGAGCTCCATATCAAAGGAGTGCT